TGTCAATTAAAAATTGACAAATTTTTAAAAATCAAAGATTTTTATCCGTAGTTTGGTCCGTCTTCTTTCTCAGCTGGGTTTTGGGATGGTTTCCTTGCGAAGGTCTGCTGAGCTCACCTCTTATTAAACTTGGGGTTTTATCTCGGAGGCCGACACCATCTGACCTGGCCCCTAGGCTGGTCTGCCGCTTGTCCAGTGCCAGAATCCCTGGAAAGAGGGATGTGTTCAGTCTCTCAAGATGTGGTGGGAGTGGGTGGTGTGTGGCACAGATAGAAGAATAAGCTGTTTCTATTCTCTAACTTCTTAGGAGCCCCTAAAGGATTACCTGACCAGCTCTCCAAACTTTGGCCATGTGCTTACTTTGCGTGCTTTGTTCCTGGTAGTCCACAGGTCCCCAAGCTTGGCTGCATGTTAGGATCAACTGAGAAGGTTAAAAAATACCAGTGCCTGGGTCCCACTCCTGTAGATTCTATCTTAAGTGGTCTGGGTGTGGCTTAGACATCTGTTTTTTTGTTTTTGTTTTTTTTTTTCAAGCTCTTCTGCTAATTCTGATGTGCAGTTGAAGTTGCACCCCTGACTGTGTCCACCCTCCCCTGGTTGGGTCCTGCCTCTGGCTCGAACCCTCTGGCTGCTTCTGTTCACCCCCCTACTGATGCTTCCTGCAAACCTCTGCTCCGCTCGAGGGGAGGTTGATATGAGTCATCTCCAGCCTTGTGGCCGCTCAAGCAGCTACTGGCACCTGTTCTAACAGACTGCACTTCGGCTCTAGAAAGGGGTTCAATACTTTGAAAAACGTTTTATAAACCCTGGCCGAAGTCACCTGTTTGTGTATCAGAGCAGAGCTGGGACTGCTTTCCTGGGAGACCTTGGCCAGGACTTTGTTCCTACTTCCTGTGGCTAACCAGCCCCTTGATTTTCAAAAGGGATGTGACCCTTTCAATTCTTATCAGAAGCTTAGTTGTAAGATATTCCTGGAGGTAGCCTAAAATGTACTTCTATTTCTCTACAGTGCCTTTTTGAAAAAAAAATTTTTTCTGGAGGGAAAGGGCTACTTAACGCTGCCTTCAAAAGACAGTTCATGGGGCAGGGGCCGCCTGTGTGTTGTTGTGCACCTGGAGTCCCAGCCGGGCCGGAGGCTGAGGCAGGAGGATGAGTAAGACCGGCTCAGGGTTGTGTGTGCTATAATCGTGCCTGTGAATGGCCACTGCACTCCAGCCTGGCCTACACAGAGACCCTGTCTCTTAGGAAAAAAAAAAAAAGGGAGCATGGGCTGATCTCCCCTCCAGTCCCTTACTGGCACTCATACCCCACCCCCGATTGGCACGGAGGGCTCCTGTAGACCAGGTTGGTCATCACTGCCTGAGCTCTCCATTGAGTCAAAGCAGAGATCTTTACACTGAGTCTTTTGGTTGCTCCTAAAATTCTTTTTATGTTTTTTCTGGGACTATGATTGTGACTTTCATTATTGGATGTTATAAAAAGTCATTTGAAAGTTGAGAACTTTTTGAGTTTTTTTAATTCTCAGGATGTTGTTTGCAACACCAGCCACTTCAGAGCATCCTTTCTGAGCATTCCTGGCAGAGGTCTCCGAGGCTTCTGTGTTATTAGGAACTGTTGCATTCCTCCGCAGCCACGGCTTTGCCTTATCTCGTGGACACTCTGGACCGTGTCGTAGCTCCTCAGGCTTCCCGTTCTGCGAGCACGCAGGAAGCTCAGTGTCAAATATGTGCTAGTATACACTTTTGTGCCCTAACTTTATCCCAGCTTTATTTCTTTTCTTAAAATTATTTTTCATTTATCTCATTTCCTCATCTGTTTTCTTTTTGAAAGTATGTATCTTTTAAAAATATTTAATTGTTATGGCTACATAATAGTTGTGTATCTTTACAGGGTACATGTTTGATGTTTTGATGCAGACATACAGTGTGAATTACTCAAATCAGGGTAACTGGGGTATCCATCACCTTAGACATTATTGTTTCTTTGTGTTAGGAACATTCCAATTCCACTCTTTTAGTTATTTGAAAGTATATCCTAACTTATTGTTGATTAGAGTCACTTTATTGTGTAAAGTATGTATCGTTGTTAGCCCCTTCATCCTTTTTGGAATGGGCTAGTGCACAAATTAGTAAATAAATAAAAACTATCCTAAATATTTTAAGAAATCAACCACTCTGACTACGTTGGTCTTAGCTCTCATCTTTGCTGTCTGTCACAGAAGCCTCCTGGCTGGTCTTGCTGCACTGCTCCTGTCCCCCAGGCTGCGCATCCTTCTGCCCCAGAGAGGTTTTCCTGTAGCCCCTCACCTGCAGAATAGAGTCCAACAGCTCAGGGTCAGGGTCTTTCTTAGCGGTCACCACCTCCCCACCCCCACTTGCAGACCTATTTCCTGTGGCTCCCCTCCTGTGCCTCACACTTCTGCAGTTCTCTTTTCTGCCCACTCTGCTTTCGCTTGTCATTTCCCCTCATCTGGAGCCCTTTTCCACTCTTTCACCTTTCTCTGCTCAAGGTGAACTTCCTCTGTGAAACCTTTGCTGATCCCTTCCGCAGGGCCGACCACTTCCTGGGTGTCACTTCCTCTCTTGGTGCACATGTCTGGTTGCACTAACCAGGCTGCTGCTAGCTCATAGACACCTTTGTGCAAATTAGAAAAAGACTCTCCCTCCTCCTTCAAGATACTTTATAGTACTTCCAACTGTTGGTAGACTGTCTTAAAAAAGATACAAATCTATGATGTCTCCAGTGTGAATGATGCCCTGCTAGGGTTGTGTGGTGCACAACTGTGCAGTTGTACATGATGGCTCTATCTGTGTTGTGATTTGTTTAATTGTCTGTATTCCCCTCAGGATCAAGGAGAATATCTTTATATCTTGATAGTATTTTTATATTCTCACTGCCTGACCAGAGTAGGCCCTCAGTAACCATTTGCTAAATAAAAGAAGAAACGAAGATATAAGAATGTACCGTGCCCTGTCTGAAAAAAAGTAGGAAAGGTATGCCTGCCAAGGCCTTTTACACTGAACATGAAGAATATATTTTCGTCTGGGCGCGGTGACTCACGCCTATAATTCCGGCACTCTGGGAGGCCGAGGCCGGAGGATCCCTTGAGCTCAAGAATTTGAGACCAGCCTGAGCAAGAACAAGACCCTGTCTCTACAAAAAATAGAAAAATTAGCCAGGCATGGTGGCTGATACCACTGCACTCTAACCTGGGCGACAGAGTGAGGATCGATCGATCTATCTATCTATCTATCTATAAATAAATAAATAAATAAATTTAAATCTTTTGATAACTTTGGTAACAATGAAAATTTTTCTTTTTCTTTTCTTTTTTTCTTTTTTTTGAGACAGTCTTGCTGTGTCACCTTGGCTAGAGTGAAATGGTGTCGTCATAGCTCACAGCAACCTCCAACTCCTGGGCTCAAGCGATCCTCCTGCCTTAGCTTCCCGAGTAGCTGGGACTACAGGTGCACACCACCATGACTGGCTAATTTTTTCTGTATTTAGTAGAGATGGGGTCTCGCTCTTGCCCAGGCTGGTCTCAAACTCCTGGGCTCAAATGATCCTCTGGCCTTGGGCTTCCAGAGTGCTAGGATTACAGGCCTGAGCCACCATGCCTGGCCGGAAAAAAAAAAAAAGGATATGTTTTAATTCAGAAACTTTTCCCACCACATTTCAATATTTCTGTAATTAGATATCTTAAAGTCAGTATACCATGCTGATTGAGAGCACAAACCCTGGAGCCAGACTTTTTGTGACTTTGGGCATGTTACATAACCTCTCTGTGGCTCAGTTTGTTCATCTGTAAAATGGGGCTTCCTATTTCATGGGGTTGTTGTGAAAATTAAACTAATTATTTTATATAAAGTGCTTAGAATAGTAACAGTCACATAATAGTAAGAGATGGAAGTGTTAGGTGTCATCAATATTGTTAAAGGCCATGTGTAGATTTACTATACTGTTGGTTCTTTTTAACCCCAAAAACCTGTTTTTAATCCATGGTGTACAGCTTACATTGCTGGCATCGTGTTTCTGTGGGTCGGGCCTTGTGCTAATCCGTTTGTGCTGCGGTCAGGGCACCTGCCCTGTGCGCCTCTCCTCCACCCACACCGGTCTTCTGGTTGCTGCAACAAAAGGTACTTAGTACCAGACAGGAAGCCAGCGGCTTTGTTTTTTCTTCTTAATTTGGCAAAAGAGAAAGAGGAAAAACCAGGGCCCTTCACAGACAAGGCTTGTATTAGAGTTTAAGTTTAACTTCTTGTTCATGTTCTAGAGCTTAGATTGGTAATAAATCTTGGCTGTGTGAAATTAGTGTAACTAAAATAAAGTCTTAAGCTCCCTGCCATTTGACTGAATGGGCCCCCTCTTGGCCAAGGGGATACCCTAAAACTGAGTTGCTAGCCATGAGAAGGGAGGTCAGATGTGCCTCCTCATGCTCCCCCCCCTTCTCGGAAATATCCTGTGTAACTCATTAACAGACCAAAAGGTATGCAAGACAAAGCTTAAACTACACCTGCAGGTCCTCAATTTACTTAACAGATCACTTGAGTCAGGGTGGGTGTCTGGTGGCTTGTCTCTGATTAACAGACTTCCTTATCTTAGAACAGTCCAAGCCTTTAGACAAAGCTTCATTTCTTTAACCAATTACAAATCAAAGAGTCTTTAAACCCACCTGTAACCTGTAACACCACCCCCTCCTTTTAGATGTCCCACCTCTTCAGGCTAAACCAATGTATGCCTTCCATGTATTGATTTACGACTTTCTGTGTAATTCCTGTCTCCCTAAAATATATAAAACCAAACTGTAACCCAACCATCGAGAGTCCATTTGCTCAAGGCTTCTTGGGCATAGCTCCGGGCCATGGTCCTCAAATTTGGCTCAGAATAAACCTCTTTAAATTATTTTACAGAGTTTGGCTTCTTTTCCATTGATATTGGAAACCAGGGAGTATTAGGTTTGAAAAAAAATGATTGTAATGTAAAATCTTTTCTCGTTGCAGGACAACTTTCCTTTGATGATTTTCAAGACAGTTGTCCATGATGTGGCAAAAGGTAATGGAATGTTCCAGGGTCAAGGTCCCCATTAGAACCTGCCAGGGTATTCTCAGGTTAGGTAATAGATGGAAGTCACTCTCTGAATAGTTATATGTTTCTTCTGGTCTTTAGTGTACACTGTGGCTTTAAACTCAGATGAGGGATGGGACGGGTATTTTTTGCATTGTTTGAGGATGTATTTTTCCCTGGGTCTGATGCTGGCTTTAGAAGCAGTAACACTGTGGAAAGCTCTGCATAACTCAATCTAGCTGCCCCACCCTGTTGAGCTTGCTTCAAATTAAGCAAGATCTGACTAATACATTCTTTGGATATGCTCTGACCATTTTCATTATGAGAACTAAAAGGCTTTTCCCAGATCACATTACTGTAATTGACTTTACACTCAACTTTGATACTCTTACATATTATACAGTACCAGGTGAAACTCTCAAGACAGTTGCTGTACATTCGTTTTGGGTTTCAACAGCCTTTTTTTAGTTAAACAGAACAGTATATAAGTAGATAGTACATAGATGATCTAAAATTTCATCTCTCTAATCTGTTAAATTGATCAAAGCCTTTATATATATAAATCTGGATTAAATGTTATTTCATTATAGAACCGGTCAACTTTAGCCTGATCCAAGGGTATGTTTAATTATTAGTTCTCAGAAAGAATATCCACATGAGGGGCTTTCTCCAACAGGGCTTCTGTGGATTCCTTTACCTTCATGGTTTCAGAAATGATAGGTGGACAGTTGTTATTACTCTCTGTGTCCCGGAAGGTGGAGAAGCAGATGGGGAGAATATGTTTACCTGTCCTCACAGTGGAGGAACTAGCATTATACTCAGTTTTTCTGTGTTGCAGTATCTCTGACCCTTTTAGGTCACATCTAAGGCTTGCTTTTTTAAAGGAGCACAATTAAAATTGAAGGTTAAATCTTGAAATAGGGGCACAAACACTTAGGAAGTCATCTGTTCCTTTATCTAAAAGCTGGAATTTCCATCTGTCCAAAATTTCTTTTCTTTTTGGAGGAATGTCAGCAAAGACAGAGAGGAATTTACCTAAATCTTACCTAGGGTGAGGATGCCCTGTAAACTGAAAACCGATAGAAAAAATTTGATTCACAAATATATTTTGTTAGGTCTGTTTTTTTTTTTTTTTAAAGAAATGGAGTCTCACTCTATCACCCAGGCTGGAGAGCAGTGGCTGTAGCTGGGACTACAGATGCATGCCGCCAAGCCTGGCTAAGTTTTTTTCGTTTTTGTAGAGATGGAGTCTTGATGTGTTGCCGAGGCTGGCCTGAAGTGATCCTCTTGCCTTGGTCTCCCAGAGTTCTGAGATTACATGCGTGAACCACCACACCCAGCCTTTTTTTTTTTTTTTGATTTGGTTGTCAGCATTTAGAATCTGGGCTATTTCATATAAAAACCTGATTTCTGGCACCTCTTGAAAAATTGAAAGAACCATTGAGACTTGGCCCACATGGCCACAGTTAACTGGAGCCAGGGTGAACCTGTCCCCCTGGCTGGGCCACCTGGTCCTCACTTTGCAGTGTGTGCTCTCATTTATGTGACCTGTCTGGCCTTGTGGGCATTTGAATTGTGACCCTGTTCTGTCCTGTCCGACATACGAAGCCAGTGTCCTACTCTGTTTTATAGCCAGGTATCTTACAGCTTTCCAGAAAGTCCTGGCCAGTATGAGCAGTGATTAAATGGCTACCAGGAAGGAGGGGAATTGGCACCACGAGGCCCACATGCTGTTCCCAGCCCCACCCCAGGCCTTCAGGGGACAGGAGTTAACGCTAGGGTGGATATGGTATGCTGTATTTACTGAGCTGGCACTACTCCATCTGTTCATTCAGTCTGAAAGTCATAATCAAAGTTTCCTCATCCAGGGGGTGGGGCATTTTTCAAAAATGAAAGAAAGCAGCCAGTGACAGCTCCAGCCCATTTGTGGGCTTACAAGACCAGCTATTGCCACAGAAGGATATGCTTCCTGTTTACCAGCTGGTCTGAGACAAAGTGGTTGTGCTTCTTGGCCACGCGGGGCTTGGCACACAGGCTGGGTTCTGTCTGTCAGGATGGTGGGGCTGAATGCTCGCTCTGTGCTTGGCCGGCTAAAGGCGGCAGGCCCCCCCAGCATGGGTCCTGGACAAGGGCCACCCTCGGGAGGGTGCTTGATTTGGCTCCGGAACCAGCCCTGGCACTGGGAAAGGAAGCAACTGGGGCAAGTCGGCCTCTCCTCCTTGCAGGCTTCCTCCTTGGCTGTCCTTTCCCTGAGGGGCCCAATCCAGGCAAAGGCCCTTGGCATAAAACTGAATCTCACAATAAATTTGTATCTTTTGTTTTTAAGCATCCAGGAAGCAGGATGTCAATGCCTCTGGGAAAGCTGATCCTTTTCACCAGTGTGTTGTGTAGTGGGGGCTTTGCCCTGATGTATTACCTCATACAAAGTGAGTACCTGCCAGCTGCCTGGGACATGGCCTCCTCCTAGTGCTCCTGCTTCTCCATCAAAGGAAATACTTGAGATGCTTCCAGCAGATTAGAAAGAAGGAAAGGACTATTTTAAAAGCCAATCCGCCATTTCATTGAGTGTATCTTCCTCCTTATTTTATAATCCCACGTTTTCCAGGAGCCACAAGTACAAATAAAAGGGCCAGGATTTATTTGCATAAGAAGGCTTGCAAAGCAAGGTGGGCTTTCACTCCAGTGCACACACTGGGGATCCGTCAAGATTCTGAAATTATATAAAGAAAGAACAGAGGGAAGGGGAATACCAGATGGTTCACAGGTGGGGAATACTGTGGCTATTTCTCAAGTGTCCTCAGCCTTTTTTGCCCTTTCATTCTCTGCTGTGATTTACTGGAGGGGGACCTTGAGCAAGGGACTCCAGCAGGAGCAGAAAATAAAAGCAGAGTCCATGATGGCAAAATCCTGACAGATGCATCTTCCAGCCCCACTGCATCCAGATTTGAACCTATAAAGACAGGCCACAATTATTGTCAGCAGCCAGGACATTTAAGGTCATTTCAATGCTACCCATGGCAAAACAGCAGCAGTTTTTTCTAGACTGACCTTTTTTGAGGCTCTTTTATCCCTGCCCAGCTTGGCTCCTCACCCTGACTCTGCAGCATTTTCACTTCTCAGTTTATGAGTGGGTGTCACCAGTGTCCTCTCTCCCCATTCTTTGCCTTCCTGCAGAGTTGGCCCAGGGTCCCTGAGTCTGGAGGGGGCCCAAGATGAGCATTCCCAGGGGTGATTCAGACTGGAATAACTCAGCCTCCTCTTCCCTCTGCCAAAGGGACAGGGGCAGAACATGGCAGGAATGGGTGCATTTTCGGGTCAGGGTTCAGCGTTCTGGCTGACAGCCTTTCTCCCTTAGGCTAGAGTTGGCAAACAGAGCCCAGCTAGGTGGGTGACACCTGGGCTCTGCAGCCAACTGTGTGGGTTGAATGGTTGAATCTCAGCTCAGCTCTTGACTAGCTGTGTGGCTTTATGGGGGAGTCTGTCACCTTCCTGGCCTTAGTTACCGTACTGTGTGATGAAGAATGACATGCGTGCCTATGCATGATGTTGTTGTGAGAATTAAATGAATCTCACCGGTGAGCTATTGAGATATCGAGAAGTGAAGATATGTGAGATATTGAGAACAGAGCTTAGCCATAGAGATCACTTGGTTAAGATTAGCTGTCTGGATCCAGCTTTTGCCTCTCCTTTTCCTGTCATGGCTGGCACCTTGTTCATGCCTGCAGCCCCACTCCTGGGAAGCAGGACAGGAGGGGCAGTGTCCTTGGCCCCTCCAGGCTCAGGCCACCTTCATTACTGTGATTGGACCTACAGGAGGGAAGTTCTTCCTGTTGCCAAAGCAAACACCCTACTTGGGAAGCCTACCTGTGCTAGAGAGCACAGGTGCCCTTGGACACCTTATTATTGTACCTTATACCTTCAGGTAGGTGCTTCCTGGAGTTTGCAGTAGCCTTTGGGCTATAAAGTATTCCTCAGACTGAGAGCAGTTCCACTTGAAATGTTGGCTTCAATCTGTAAACTTGACAAATGAGTATTTTCAAATCCTATTTCTTGGCCTCAGGGTTTTGTTGTTGTTTATCTTGTCTATTTTATGCCTCATCTTAGTGGAACTAACCTTGTTTAGAAGCCAGGTGTCATGCATTCTGGCCCCTGCTTTGCCTTGGACTAGCTGTGTCACTTTGAGCAGATCGTGGGATCATAGGACTTTAGAACTGAGAGCAGACTTAGAGAAGAGCTGATCAAACCCTTTAGATGAAGAAATGAGGCAATGAATGAGGTGAGGAAATGAGAAGAAATTGAGGCACAGAAGGGGTCTGCATAAGGTCAAGGCTCAAGGTCACCCACACCTCCCTGCAAAAACTGCCTTTCTGCACTTTGATTTCAAGTCTGTAAATTGGACAGTTTAGAGTAGATGGTTCCTAATTATTCTTCCATTGACATATTGCACATTCTTGTTTCTGTTTCCACCTTGTATATCAATTGGATTATTTAACTTTCTGTATAGACTCCACCTGACCAAGTTCAATTAAGAAAAAAAGTCTATCTTTCCTTCGTAGAAACTTTTTCCAGGACTTCGTATTACCAGCTGGCGTTGGAGCAGCTGCGCAGCCACCCTGAAGCACTAGAAGCTCTGGGCGCGCCTGTCAACGTCCACAATCTCCGGCTCCCCGACAAGCACAACTTCGTGGACATTGCTGAGGCCCGGGTAACGTGCTCTCCCTCTGAACTGCAGGCCGGGTGCCTCCTGAGGGAGAGGAGGGGCTGCTGTCAGCTGGAAAGAGTCTTGAAATCTTGGAGGTTAAGGATCTGGGATGGGAAAACTCACTAAGTAAAACTGCCACTAGGTTTAGCACCTTTTTAAAAAGTTTTTTTTTTATTATTGTGGATTTTTATATTTATATAAAATATATTTTATATTACTATGGATTAATTTACTTTCATATGTTTTCCTTCCATCTGGGGAATTGATGTGGCAGGGGAAAGCACTGGGTGTGCTGAGGCTGCCACCTTAAACTGAAGGTAGTGGAGAAATGACTGGTGGTGCTTTGCCTCTGCTCTGGCTTTGAACTTGAAATATATCTGTATCTAGTCAGTGCTCATTCAAATGTAACCAGCTCTTTAAATTTTGATTTTAAAGTTTATTTATTTACATTGCTTCCATGGAATACCAGTCCAGTTTTTGAGCTGTATCTTATCTTTTTGTGTGGTGCAGCTTGATCAAACTTACTTGAATATAAAACACATTTGTTCTTCTGTTTAACAAGCATGTTTCGAGTACTTGCCCCGGTTCAAGGAATGATTCTAAGTTATGTGGGGAATACAGAGATGAGGAGTTTACAGTCTACAATTTCGGAATAAGCCAGAGTGGAGCCAGCGCTGTCACTGTTGCATAGGCCCAGGAAGGAGTGGGTGGAGGCCTGGGAGATGGCCGTGCAGGCTTCGGAAGGTAGGAAGGGAACACCAGGCTGAGCAGCAGCGTGCACCGGCCAGTGTCACCTGTCGGTGTGACCTGACCTGCTGTGCAGGCGCAGGTTGGTGAGGGTGGGCGTGGGCGGTAGGAGGGGCTGGAGCAGTCAGAGCCACAGCGTCGTCATGTGAGGCGTGTGCACTTGATTCTGTGGCTGCCGAAGCCCGTGCGGTGTTTGGAGGATAAGAGTGAGATGATCTGACCTACTTTATTTTTTTTGTTGTTATTTTTATTATGTTCTTAATGGACAGAGCTCTAATGGGATTTTTTCCTAACCGCAAAAGCAATTCATGCTCAAGTATTTTGATGAAAATATTTTGTCTGGTTTTAAAAGAAGGTAAATTGCTACAGATTGGTGATGCCCAGGGACTGGGTGCAGGGAACTGCCCGTAGGGGAGCAGTGTGGCTGCCCTGGTGTGCAGTGTGAGAATGTGAACCAGAGCCGCGGCCTGGAGGGATGAGATGGATTTGAAGGCTGTTGTGACAGCCAGGTGACAGGACTTGGTAACTGTTTTATATCAGCAGAGGGCTGGGTCAGAGGTGATGCTCCAGTCTCCAGCATGTGTGAGTGGAAAGATGGCATCTCCGTGAAGTGAGAGAGGGGACCCAGGGGAAGAAAGGGGATAAGCCGGACATGTGTGCAGTGCTCACTCTGTGCCAGGTGGCTTTATGTGCATTGTCATCAGATTTCTCCCGTGGTGCGGTGTGGCCCCTCTGTGCTTCCCTATCTCGGGTCACCTGACTGGATCCTGGAAAGTCCACGAACTTGCAAAGGCCAGGGATTAGGTCTGGCTGTTCACTGTTTCCTGCCAGCTTCATTGCTCAGGAGGTGTTTGTTAAAGGTGCCTTTGCTGAGGCAGGTTGATGCAGCATCAGATCCAGGATCTGTGACCGGTGAGCGAAGAATGGGATGCAGCTATGGTGGTTTTGGTGGGATCGTCATCTGGTCAGGTCCAGCTTTCGCTTTGGCCCCGTCTTCTAGCATGCTCCAGCTGGTGCTGAGAGGGTGGCTTCCTGTGCTTCCTGCAACCCGGGGCCTTTGGCAGCACCGTGACTGTGTTGGCTGTGGTGCTAGGTCCTGGTCTCTACTGCTGCCAAATGCTGTGACCCCACTGTGACAGGAGTTCAGAGCCACCTGGAGCCCCAGCACTTGTCTTCCATTTGTGGAGTAATTTTGACATTCTTTGTAATCACCTGTTTTATAAGGACGCCTGTATACAACGCAGCCATCGTATCCGAAGGTCCTTTATTTGTAGTTCCTTTATTTTGTCCAGAGGTGAGAGGTTCAGTTGTTCATGAGGTGATTTTCATATTGAAGGATTTTCCCCCCAAGTGTATGTGTGAGATAGGCACCGACTGCCAACACTTTGGTTTAGGAGAACTCCTGCTTCAGTCTTTCTCAAGGGCTGGCCAGTGAAGGAACCAGCCCGAAAGTGCCGCGTCTACCCCCAGAGAAGCACCTGTTCACAGTTCAGACATCGATCCCTCAGTGTGCGCTGTCCTTCAGAACCCTACTTACTTCTGCCCTTTTCTTTCCCTTTCCTTTTTTTTTTTTTTTTTTAAAGCATCCAGAGATGCTCAGTGTATACTCTGTTGCTTCATTTTATAGCCCCCAGATAAGAGCTGTAGCTTGATTCAAAAAGTGGGACCCTGAGGACGGGTTCTTAAAGTGTGACTAGGTGACTGCTGTTCACTCAGGTTATGAAGCCACGTTCCAAAGCCTTTGTCTTCCTTACAGTGTCTTCGAATAAATGAAAGGGAGAATTTTGGAAAACGCAAATGTGTGTGTGTACCTGAGTAGTTCTTTCTCTTGGCGGCAATTTGGCATGGGTGGGATGCTCAACCTCCTGTCCCAGAGAGTACCTCTGGCCATCACCTGGGGCACACAAAGGCACTCTGGGAAGTGCCTTCCTAATGACAGGCTTCTTTGTTGCCACATTGTGTCAAGGCTCGTACCTTCTTTAGTTTTCACTAAGAAACCAGAAACAATGCATTCACTACTTTTTTCTAAATCAGAGCATAAACAAATACCTAGGGGCTGGCTTCGAGGCTGTCAGGCTGACTCCCGTGCGGGCCTGGCAGCACCTTGGCAGCATCCCGCCTGGTGAGCCCAGCCTCGGTGACTGGCGATGAAGAACAGAGAACTCCTTGATGTCTCTCCCGGACAGCCATCGCGCACTCTCTTTAAGCCTGTTCTTTATGGTCCAGGTCAAACTCTGTACCAATTTGCTGGCAATAGTTCTTCCTTTTAAACATTGGACTTTTTTTTTTATCTTTTTTTTCTGTTTTATTATGAAAAATTTCAAACATACAGAAAAGATAAAAGAATCTATACTGTGAGCACTCATATAGCTGGTACCTGGATCTACAGTTAGCATTTTGTTTTGTTTCCGTGAATCCATCTTATCGCTCTGAGGTATTACTAAGTAATTTTCAAACATCGTGCACTTTACCTCTGAACACATAAACATGTATATCACTACCTAGAGTTCAATATTTGTTTATGGGGGTTTCTTAAGGTAAATTTACATTCTGTGAAAGGCACAAATCCAAGTGTCCTATCTGAGTTTTAACATATGCATCCCTGCGTGTAACTCAGGCCCTTATCTAGATGTGGACTGTTCCCACCACCCGAGAGTTCCCTCAAGCCCAGTTGGTTCCCTCTCACATTTAGCTCCACCAGAGGCAAGCAATTTTCTCATTTTTTTCCAGCATAGTTTATTTAGCCTGTTCTAGAACTTAACACAAATGGAATCATACATCATATGCTCTTTTGTGAGGCTATTTCACCATGTTTGTAATATTCATCTACGTTGCTGTGTGTGTATCAGTACTTTGTTCCTTTTTAACAGCAGATTTGTGAATTGTAAGCAGCCAGAGCATTGAGTTTGACACGTAGGGTCTCCTTGCCAAATGGAAGGGCTGCCATTGACCTCACCAAACCATCCAAAGCGGGCAGGAATTTTGGAAAATCGAGTGCATTCTCCAGCTGGGCTGTTAGAAAATAATCTGATTCTGTTGATAATCCCTGGATTTTATAGTCTTGGCCCTGAAAAGCATCAGTTTTATCATCTTTTGAGATGATAATAATGTATCCAATTACATCTCTCCTTTCTGTCATTTTATACCCACAGTTGAAGATTCCTGTCTCTGGGTCCAAGTCAGAGGGCCATCTCTACGTCTTCTCCTCCAGAGCTGCCCCCTTTCAGAGGTATTATGGGAAAGTGTGGGAGTTGGGAATAGCAGGAGGACTTCCTGATGGAAACAGTCCTGATTCCCATTTTCACCTGCAGTTAAATGATTGTGGTAATAAGAAGAATTAGTTTTCAAAGCTTGACGCTGAAAGCTTCATGGCCCGGGCAGCAAGCTAGGACTGCGGCTCTTACCTCAGTTCAGACACTTTATCCCATACAGTCTACTGAATTGTCTGCTCCTTATATTGTTGGCCTTTTAAAAAACTATTAAGGTTATAGTGATCTAGGCCTACAATAATTTGATGCTATGTTACATCTTCTAACTGTGCTGCCTCAGTGGTTACAAATGAGTAAAGGCATGGATTCTTGTTCCAGAATTATTCATCACATTCTTTGTGTAAGCTCTCCACCCCATTAATTGGCTTTTCTTGTCTGGTCGCCAGTAGCTACACGCACTCACTTCCCCCGGGAGGCCTCTCTCAGAGATGTTTGCTGTTTAGCCAGGCTGGGTTTTAATGCAGGAGGACAAAAGGAGCAGGCGGCCTTGAGCAGCCCCCACCTAGCTGAGCCTGGGCTCACTGACCTCGGAGCCTGGGATTAGTGGAGGAGCTGGCTGGATTCCAGGCCAGGACTGAAGGTCGACGTGGATTAGGAAATAAAGTGCTGCTTCTTCCTGACGTCCCTTCCATTTGCCTGTCAGTTGGTCATCGTTACGCCTGCCTTGAAGTGGGTGCTGCTTCAGTAATGACAGTCCAGGATAGAATGCTAACGTGTTAACGCAGCACTAACATAAAATAATGTTTAGAAACATTTAAGACATTGTTCCAAACAACTGCTTCCCCCCCTTTCTGACTACGTCTTTTGCTTCAGTGTTGCGTTGATCAGAGATGCTGTACTTTTGGTTTCTCTCAGGTGGCACCTGGACAAGGTCTTCTTACAGCTCAAGGATGGTGAGAAGATTCCTGTGCTCACGCTCCGTGAGGAGAATGGTGATGAAGTGAAAACGGAGTAGAGGGGATCAGAAAGACCCCGCTTGCTTCGGGTCTGGCCTTCCCTCATCTGCACCGCGTGCCCACCCGGGTGACGGCCCATCTGAGTGACAGACACTCCTGCGCCAATTTTCCAGCTGCCAGTGGGAGGATTGTATGTGGTGGCATATGGTAATTTGGTATAATTCTAACTCGAACACGACGAACACTATTGTGGTTTTTTAATTGATTCAGAAAGAAACTTTTATTGTAAGTTTATAAGATAATTTATTTGAAAGTGCTCTGTGTAAAAAAAGCAAAGCACAGGATAAAAGGAATCAGAATAAATAAGATGTTTGTCGATTTTTGCTAGTTCTCATTTCTTTCTTTTCTTTTCCTCTTCCGTCTCCTTCCCCTCGTAATTTTCAGCGCTATCAGTACGAAGTCTGAGACACATTGACCAAGAGTGCTGAGGACGACTGGGCACTGTTGTTTTGGCCACTCTGCCCTGAATTCCTGTTGTTAAGTAGCTTGTGGGCATCCTCGGTCACTTGGGAATATTTTGTTTGCTGTATTGTTTTTGTTTTATTTTCATATTTCTATTTCAAGGACCGATTGTCTGCCCAGTTAGAGATTTGCAAAATAACTGCTTTTATTCTAAACATTTTGAAAGCTTAGAAAATTTATGTGTGTACATATACACATATAAAGCCAACGTAGGAAAGTTTAGTTTAAAGCTAACAGGTGCTTCTCCTTCTGCTTTTCAAACAATTTAACCACATGATATTAGAGAATCATATTCTTAGGTTTTATTAGTTTTATAAGGAAACAGTTTATGACGCAAAACACCTTCCTTCTGAGCACCAGAGCCTACAAAAATCTAGTATCTGTGCTTTGAAAGGCCAGTTTATAAGGCTGGGCACAGGGGCTCAAGCCTGTAATCCTAGCACTTTGGGAGGCTGAGGTGTAGGGATCACTTGAGGTCAGGAGTTCAAGACCAGCCTGAGCAACAAAGTGAGACCCCATCTCTACAAAAAATAGAAAAATTAGCCAGGCATGGTAGCGTGCACCTGTAGTCCCAGCTACTTGGGAGGCTGAGGCAGGAGGATGGTTTAAGCCTAGGAGTTCGAGGCTGCTGTGAGCTAGGCTGACACCACTGCACTCTAGCCAAGGTGACAGAGCAAGACTCTGTCTCAAGAAAAAAAAAAAATAAAAAAAAAGGCCAGTTTAACCCTCTTAGTATTACTAGGCTTAATGTAACTGTCTACAATGAAGGACATTCATGAGCTCTTTTCCTACATTCTTTTTTTTTTTTGCTGACCCAAGACTTGGGGAATCTTTTCCTACATTCCTAATATTCATTGAAGAGAAGCCTCTCAGAGAAAAAAATAAGCTTAAATATGTTGGTAGAATATGAGGCTTTTAGTTATTAGATATTATTCTGAAGTTTGTTTCTTTAAAAAATGTGTTTATATGTTCCTTGAATGGATTATACAGTGCAAAGTAAGTCTCTTTCCCTGAGAGCACTTTGCCATTTTGTTTATAGATAAATATTCCAATCTCTACAGTCTTTTAAAATAAATGGTAGAGCCCTGTGCACAGTTTTGTGCTGCTTTATTCTTTCTGTTGTGTATGTTGTCAATTTATGTATTGCTTTGTATCTGAGTGTCCTCTGACAACTTGTGCTTCCTTCCAGTGTTTGCTAGAGTTGTTTGTTTCTTTGCTGTGGCCAAATCATAGAAAACCAGGGCCTAGGTGGGCCATCCGTTCTGAAGTAAAACAAGTGACAGTTTTTGTTTGTGTAGAAAGTTTGAATTAATGAAGAGGCTTTCCTCATCCAGCTGACAAGAAATAATATCATGTAGTAAAAAGCTCCTTGATTTCTATTTGGAAGCCACCATCTTGGGTAATCTTTCTAGTTAAGTTTACTTCCATGTATGTGCTTAATGACTTCATGGGTGACCCAGAACCTGGTCATGGCAGTAGACGTTGTTGTCTTTCCTGTTCTTTAAGGATAGCAATGATGTGCATTTGCAGCCCACTACTTCCTGTATATCCAGTAATCACTGTGACTCAGCCATTGACTCGCATTAGCTACCTTGAAGACATCTGGGATAATGCATATTGTTATCAGAGGAAAAGGTGACTTTTTGCCATGAGTAGAGTTTGAGCAAGTGCCTTCAGCACATCCCATAAAGAGACAGGACGGCCCAGACATTAGAGAAAGGGCTTTACTAGAATTACAAGAACCATAGCTTTGTAAAGACTACAGAAGGGACATCGCAGCCAGCACATGGTAGCCTGACTCCTGCTTTACTGTGGAAGACGGTGCAGGGCCTCCGGCTGCAAGTGGCTCACCAGCTTGTGCGCTGCGTGCACGGGCAGGGCTTACAGGGAGTTACAGAGTATTAGGATCCTGTGCCCCAACAGTTTCAAGCAGTGATGCCAAAATGATGCAGAAAAGAGAGATGTCAGCTAGGAGGAATCCAAGAGGCTATCTCCGGAGGCAGTGGTGTCTTTGCGGGCCTTGAAGGCTAAGATTGTGACGAGCAGACATGATGGAAAGTGCCTTGTAAGTGGAAAGAACAACGTGAACAAAGGCCTCGGAAGGGATGGACGTGAGCTGTGCCCCAGAACTAAGATATCCAGTTTGGCCAGTGTATAGGTTAGTTAGCTGTAGGTGAAGTGAAAGGTAAGTTGGCCACAGTGTGAATGCCAGTGTTAACATTTTGCATGTAGTCTGTGGCCAAAGATTTGGAGTAAGTATATGATACTACTGTTAATGAAGGTTTCAGAGACTGTGCTTTCACATAAATCACAAATCTTACTATCATTTGTTCCATTTTTCTAGAATTAGCTTTCTCTTGCTTCCAAACATTCCCTATTCACCAATCCAGGGACTTCATAATACCTTATGAGACAAGATTTTATTACTCTGTTTCGGTGAAGTTGTATGTGGCAGTGATGAAGCGGAAATAAGTCAGATATGCATGAAACAGCCAGAACTTGACAAATAGTGGTCTCTGTCTTCTGGCCACTGGAAAGGCCAGGAAAGTGCTCAAAAGGCAGCAGCTCTTGAGGGTTTTCCCCAAGGAAAGTAGCCTTAGGCCACTTGACTATTTGGTGTTTTCAGTTTGTACATATAAAAAGTATGAATAAATATTTACCAGTCACCTGCTTTACAGGTGAGGTAATGTTTACAGTGCTTGTTAGGATGCTTGGGCAAAAGATTCTGTTTACACAGGAGCTTGATGACTGGGGGAGGGTCAAGAAGGAGGTGGGAGGGTGATAGGAAAACCTCCAGCTCCACTCACAAGAAGATGCTCGCCTCCTCGGTGACCTGCTCCCAGTTCAGGCATGCCTTTTGGCCAGACGTCAGTGGAATTGCTCAGTTGAAAGTACTGTCAGGAATGTGCACGGAAAAACTGTGCCCTTTTACAACCCAGGGTAGAAAAGTGGTAAGTGAAAATATCAAAAACATGCCTCTAAGACACAGGATGGGTGCAGTAAGTGAAATTTGACTTTTCAGGAGAGTGTACTTTTCATTCCTAAATTATTTTCCAATTTTTTTCCAAAAGGATTTTTTTTCTTTTTAAAAGGAAATATTTTAATTGACATATCAGACAGATCACAAGCAATATATTAAAAGCCTGTTAGTAAATAATACACTGTCAAGGCAGAAATTAGCCCCTTCACCATATAACAATAATACTTATCTTTTAACTTTAGCTACCATGTTAGTGTCAGTCACCTTGCAGTCTTAATGAGAAAGTAATTTATCACTTTCAAATTATTTCCAGGAAACCAGAAACTATAGACCAGAAAGAAACTACAGAACAATCTCCCTTACGAAAGTTGATGCAAAAATTCTAAATAAAATATTAGCAGAGTGAATCCAATGACATATACTGATATCAAGTATTGTTTTTCATAAAATAGTTTGGTGCCTCTGCCTTGCACTGCTCTTACCTATTGGAGGATTATACATCCCTGCCTTGTTGAACTTAGGCATGACCAGGTCATTTATTTTGTGAGGGGAAGTGACATGCAAGACTTCTGAGTAAAAGTTTTAATTGCCAGCCCTTGCTTCACTGTGTCCTCTTTAACTTCTTCCCTAATATTGGTAATGTTCCAGATGGCAGCTACTTCCAGGGCTTGGGTTCTGACGCACAGTGGGATATGCAGCACGAGTGAGAAGTACACCCTTATAAGCCCCTAAGATGGGGGGGGGCTATTTGTCACCCCAGCTTAACCTAGTCTACCCTATTAACAGTGACTAAGTTTTATTCCAGGAATGCAAGGGTGGTTCAGTTTTAGGAAATCATGGAATTATTTTAACCTAAGACATGGCTTAGATCTAGCACTTAGATTCTAATTGGACAGATACACAAATAAACCAGTGATTGCAGAACATGTCCTTAGTGGTTTGACTGAACGCAATAGTATTTATAAAAGTATATTAAAGGTACATTTATAAACGTATATTTTGCCACTTTCTAGGACATTTTTAGCAAATTCACTATCCAAAACAAAGTAGAAGAGAAAAGGTGGAGTAGATGCAGTTCTCTCCCTATTCTTCCAAGTGCAGCTAAAAACCCTGGATTTATATAAAATAAACTTAAGACTGCTCTGAAAGAAGAGAGGGCTGACCCAAGGCATAATACGGCATTGAGTTCCCTGGGTTTTCTTCTGCGTTCTATATCCTAGACTGGGTGTTGGAAAAACCAGCACCCCAGAAACACCAACAGGAGCAGACGACAAAAGCTAAGAAAAGCCTGCTCTCTTTAGCCAAAGGATCCAGAAAGGAACAACCTAGAAAGTGACCTTTCAGATTGTAACTGCCCTACTCCACCCAAATACCACACTCTATCAGCAAAGGCCAAGTGGGGAACCCAGACTTCCTCCCTTGCCTGGCTGTAATGAGGCCTGAATGACGTCAGAGAAGGCCCAGTGGGGAGCTGGGACTTCCATCCTTGCAGGATAGTAACGAGGCCCACCCCCCATGGTGTCAGTGGAGGCCACGTGGGGGGCCTAGGCTTCCACCTTGATCGGGCAGAACAGGCCCTCCCACCGTCACAGTATGAGTGGAGCCCATGTGCTTAAGTGGGAAGCAGTAATAAGGCACCCCAGCCCCTGCCTGGGTGTCAGAAGAGGCTGAGTGGCGAGCCTGAACCTTCACCGCTCCCTGGCGGTACTGAATCACCATACCCTCTTTGCC